AATTGCAGCCTGCTGATTGGATAATAAAGGGGCAGCAACATCAGTATTTCTGGTGGTACCTAAGGGACCACATATTCAGTATGGGTTAAAGCGGCATCATGAATGGCGCGGAGGGCCCAGGACCTTTTTTCTTGCTACTCGTCAGGCATCATGCCGCAATGTGGATGTCATTTGTGTGATTGAAGAGTATTGCCATGCAGTGTTTATTGTGCTGCGTCACAGTACAGGGTAGATTGTATCCCAATTTGAACCTTCTGTATCTGAACCTTCTGGTTTCATACTAACCTACGTTTAATGTCCATGTATCTTGGGAGAGCTGTTTCTGGGTGCGCTGAAGATAAGTCCGCATAACCGGTCCCCAATCTTCACCTGGCGCTGAAGCCATTGCCTCTCTTCTGAGAGGACTACTGTTAATGGAGGAAGAAAGAAGACACAGGACTGGAACCAGTTCAGCTTTAATGCTGTATATATAAACCCACAGAGGTGTTAGTGATCACATTGGGCAATCTGTCTACTGAAGGGTTTGTATGGGATGAATTGGGAGTGTTTGGGTACAGTGTGATAGAGTTTAGAGAATAAAGGCAGATGATTATTGCTGTTAAACTAGGTTTTTGTTGATCCAAGGTTAACTCCAGTCAAAGATAAAATGGAAGCGTAATTTACATCTTGGCATTCATTGTGTCCAGCTGGTGCACTTACTAAATCCATGTGGTTGCCAGTACACTTCTAAGCCTGGGAAAATGTAGGCCATTGTGTGTTCCCAGGTCCCAAATACCTAACTCTGTACTTGTCACAGGATCACGTGACAAGAGGTTGTAGTTCCTCCCAGACATGACTCTCTACATAATTCCGTGCCATGAAATCTCTTCTGTTGTGCTTAGGGATTGGGGCACATGTCTGGTTCAGATTCAGGGTCATTCAGATGGTCATGATAGGAATTTAGCTGACAGGGCAGCTAGGTGCAGTGGGATGTAAATTAAAGACAGTAAGAGGTTTAGTTGTAAACAATTGGCAGGGTCATTCACCGTGCAAATCTCTGTGAACGTTTGTTTTGTGCAAATAGCTGCAAAATTAAATGTTCTTAATATAGTTTATTTTCAGGTCAAACGTATTGTGATGTAATACTGCTGTATGGCCAATAGATGGACCTGAGGAGCATAGGAAATTATACTTATTCTCAATCCTCCTCAGCTCCATCTATTGGACATACTGCAGAATTACATCACAACACATTCGACCTGAAAAGGAAATATATTACAGTGTATGGGAGCCTTAAATAAAAAAAAGTTTGGGACTGTTTTGCTTTGTCCCACTGTGAACTCAGAGCAATCTCAGCATCATGCATGAGATGTGGGAAAGTCATACAATAACTGATGATCCTGTCATTCCCCTTAGCAGAGACCCTCTTCCTGTTTGTTATGGATCATGCTAGCTATGGAAGCACATCCGTCCTAGCGTGATCAGTTTGCATCTCCTCTTCTGACTTCAGGACTCTGTGCCTACAGTCATAAAGTCAGATTGCAGGACTCCTTAGTTTAAGTGACAGCGGCTCCTGCTCAACAATTACTGCTGCCATGGCCCCATCCAGCCCTCCTTAGTTTGAGTGACAGTGGCTCCTGATCAACAATTACAGCTGCCACACCCCCCATCTGGTCCTTCTTAGTTTGAGTGACAGCGGCTCCTGCTCAACAATTACAGCTGCCACACCCCCCATCCAGCCTTCCTTAGTTTGAGTGACAGTGGCTCCTGATCAACAATTACAGCTGCCACACCCCCCATCCAGCCCTCCTTAGTTTGAGTGACAGAGGCTCCTGATCAACAATTACAGCTGCTACACCCCCCATCCAGCCCTCCTTAGTTAAAGTGACAGCGGCTCCTGCTCAACAATTACTGCTGCCACACCCCCCATCCACCCCTCCTTAGTTTGAGTGACAGTGTCTCCTGATCAACAATTACTGCTGCCACACCCCCCATCCAGCCCTCCTTAGTTTGAGTGACAGTGTCTCCTGATCAACAATTACAGCTGCCACACCCCCCATCCAGCCCTCCTTAGTTTAAGTGACAGCGGCTCCTGATCAACAATTACAGCTGCCACACCCCCCATCCAGCCCTCCTTAGTTTAAGTGACAGCGTCTCCTGATCAACAATTACAGCTGCCACACCCCCCATCCAGCCCTCCTTAGTTTAAGTGACAGCGGCTCCTGATCAACAATTACAGCTGCCACACCCCCCATCCAGCCCTCCTTAGTTTAAATGACAGCGTCTCCTGATCAACAATTACAGCTGCCACACCCCCCGTCCAGCCCTCCTTAGTTTAAATGACAGCGTCTCCTGATCTGAAACGCGTCGCTCTCGTCCGCTCTTGGATCCCCCTCCACTCCACCATCAACTCGAGCCCCGGCGTCTGACTGTCCCCAGCAGACCCGACAGAGACGGCTCGTTGACACACGCGGCCACGGCTGCCACAGCCCTATCCAACACCCGGTTCCTGTCTGAATGATCCCTCTCCAACACGTCACTGGATTCGACTTGCGGCTTCTGCCAGCTGCTTCTGCACATGGTCCCCAGCAGATCTGACAGTTACCGCCCGCTGAGACACACACAGCTGCGGCTGTTACAGCCCCGTCCATTGCCCGCTGCCTATTGCCGATACCACAGCGATCCCCCTGCCTCTCTCCCACACCGCACAGACCCCTCACGGCACTTCAGACGAAGTCCCCTCTTCTCATCTACACTCTCCCGTGGATATACCTCTTGGATCAATACATCGATCACATTCGGACACCACACCACGAGTGCCCCGATCCTCCATACCGGCCGTCCATCTCCAGATCCTGGCATTCACACGTAAGTGCCACCACCCTCAGTTTTTCATCACTACTTTGTTAACTAGCCAGTGTTTTCTGCGCCCTTTCTTGGTTTTTTGAATATTTACATGGCCCCATCCAGCCCTCCTTAGTTTGAATGACAGCAGCTCCTGATCAACAATTACAGCTGCCACACCCCCCATCCGGTCCTTCTTAGTTTGAGTGACAGCGGCTCCTGCTCCACAATTACAGCTGCTACGCCCCCATCCAGCCCTCCTTAGTTTAAGTGATAGCGGCTCCTGCTCAAAAATTACTGCTGCCACACCCCCCATCCAACCCTCCTTAGTTTAAGTGACAGCGGCTCCTGCTCAACAATTACAGCTGCCACACACCCCTGCCCTCCACAGTTTCTCTGACAGCGGCTCCTGGATGACTAGCTTTTGCAATCTCTGATCCCAGCACTCGGAGCAATCACATAACCATAAAATAAAAATATAACCACAAATGTTAACTCTTCCTCACTCTATCCAAGACTAAAATAAAATCTAGCTGAAGTTAGGCTCATCTTCTCATCAGAGAAGAAAGGGGGCTCTTGGCCTCTTTTTGAAAATGCTAGTTACCTGGATGTACTGTATCTGTCTCAAACTGTATCTAAAGCCAGAAACAAAAATGTTATATATTGCAGTTTACCAATCTTGGTGATATGGCGACTGCAGTAGTTTTCTTTTCTCAGGCTTTTTTCCCTTTATTTTTGCCTGGTGACCCTGCCAGTAACCCACGTCCTGTCCTAGGGTGTAGGCAGATAATATTAAACTTTAGTCCAGTTATGCATACATTTAAAAAATAATTAAGGGCCCACTTATACCTATTCATTGCGGATATATCCAACGGGGGAGAGTAGGAGCTTCTCATAATAGGCACAGAAGATCCAGAACCCACTCAAGGACCAATAAAATTCCCAAGAGACAGAAAATGTCAGATGCTTTGTTTCTTCTCAGTCTACCATAATGTGAAATATTAATATTGGGTGGATTGACCCTTTAAGAGATGGTTTTTGATGGCTTGACATGTGTCACTGTACTCTGCACGCTTTTCTTTGCGCGTGGTTTAATATGAGTCCCTTCCCTTTAATTAGTGGCTGAGAGCTGCATATGCCGCCGCAGACGTTAACCCCTAGGTTCAACAACATAATAATGAAATACATTGCAGCGAGAAGGTACGATAGCAACAGATCCCGCTACAGAAAGAAAGTGGGACATCTGCCATCAGCAGGAGCAAAATATGGGGCTTGAAAAGAGATTAACCAGCTAATTCCGCATGCAACAGCAATATACTTCAACTGACATTTCATGTAATCTGCAAGAATGCTAGCAGAGAATTTATAGGAGAATGGATATGGGACATTAAGTGGCATTGACAAAGATGAGACATGACAAAAAAGTCTAACATATCTGAAAGAATATTTGCTTTATTATGTCTAATTTTCATATATCATTTTACCACCCATAGGCTAACACTAGTAAAACCAATCCTACAATTTAACATGCAGCAACACAGACCAACGTTATAAGTGATTTTCCATTTGCAATGCCCTGGCTGAACGTTCTTCTTCCAGTGTTATGCCAACAAGCTTGGCAACGAAAGAGTTAAGTGCCAGAGGTGGTAATAAACACAGCATTTCTTCCTGACATCCTTCCCTGGTATTATGCACGGGGCAGCATTAAACTGACACCGGCTGTAATGGTGCTCCAGCAATGGTACAGATCATCCTCTTGAGGCATTTCATCTAGACTTCAACAAAACTGACCAATGACGTGGCCAAGTGTCCATCTTCGGATTTTTTTTTTTTGCTAAATTAGGGAAATATATAAAATATCTACAATAGATACAAGTGACCTAAAAATAAATAAGAACAATGTTTTTTTTTAAATAGCAGCCCACAGGAGTAAATAAAAAGACTACAAAAAATCAAATTAAACTTTGCCTGCAGGTTAAATGGTCTGATCACATCTGAAACCTCAGAGGGACTCAAATCCCTAATGGTTCTGCATTCTCAAGGACCTTTGCAATGTGAGGACCGAAATCTGTTTAACATTCGAGAACGTATGGTCCAGAGCTCAGCATCAGTTAACTGGCTTGCTATTTATGATTGTCAAAACCGTCACTCAACCTTTCAGAGAACATAAAAGGAATTCAAGCCGTTTCTGGAAAGAAAATCTCTTTGAGAACAGCTACACAAGGAGATGAGCTATTCTCCTTGACGGTGCACTGAGGTCTCGGCTGGTGGCTTGGGGATTTGAACACCTGTCTGCTGAAAAGCTCGCGGACCCCTTGCCTGAATTTCAAGTCACGGGCGCTGTAGATGACGACATTCCAACAGCTGTTGGAGGTGAGGATCCAGAATGCATAGAAAGAAAACTCACACCAGTCATAACCTAAGACATTGCCCATCACAAACACTGCAATGGGACCGAAGGAGGCAGAGAAAGCAAAGGTGAGGATTCCGATGGTCTTGGCCGCTGTGATATCTGAAAATGAAACTTTACTGCATGTGCTCTGAGAGTCCGCCTCTAGTTGCTTTCTCACCCGGCTATACTGCCTAATGGCTGCAAAAGTTATAAAATTGATGGCATAGGTGCCACCTAGCAAGGAAAAGTCAAATGCCGGAAAGATGAGCATGATGTTCAAGGCAGGACCCTCTGGTGGCAAAGCAATGAAGGAATATGTGCACATTTTGCTACATGTGTTGTACTCCAGAGTTAAGTTTCGACTGAAGATCATGGGCACCATGGCAAAAACAAAGCTGAAGATCCAGCAGAACACGGCAAGGAACCCGGTCCTTCTCCTAGTAATCACAACCCGCTTATGAAGAGGTCTCAGTACAGCAATGCTCCTCTCAACGGACATCAAGAATATGGTGGAGATGGAGACAAACGTGCAGCCAGCGAAGATGGGACCCATGATGAAACAAGGAATTTGGGTATTAATGACTGGTTCGGCAGCTCTAGAAACATTTTCCAGTCCATACAGAAGACGCATCACTTCCACGTACACAGAATAAGGCACTACCAGCACTCCAACTGCCAGGTCTGCCAAAGCTAAAGAGATCTTCAGGAGACCCTGAGAGGCCCTGAGCTGCTTAGTCCTCACAAAGACCAGAAGACACAACACATTGCCCACTGTGATTGTCACAATCAGTAGCACCATGACGGAAATCTTACAGGTGTCCCCAAGCAGAGATGTGCTGCAGATGCTGCAATTCCAAACGGTGGAAGTATTTTCAAGCATTGGAGAAACGAAGGTAACGCAAACTTAAAGTCAAGAATCCATCGGTTAGGCTTTCTCTATCCAAAGCCAAAGAAAAAGGTGAAAGGTACACTTCTTAACTCTAGTTCAGGAACATCTTTCTGATCCACACTGCAAGTGGCGCTGCGCAGCATGCACCCACAGGTAAATATTTTGAGCCCTGAGCAAACAAGGATATTTCTCTTGCAAATTGAAAGCAATTCAAACACTGCATGCAGATAACGGATTGGCAGAGGCGCTAAGCGCAATCACTCTTTGAAGAGCATTATTAGGCTAGTTCCTTCCCATACAGCAAGGGGACGGATGAGTGTTTGCTTTGCACTGAAAACGCAGCCAGAATCTGTCCTCAAACAAATAGAAGTCAGCAGCTCCAGATGTATTCAGCTGTACATAGAGTTCAGGCAAAATCAAAGTCTGTTGGCAGTGCAGATGAGAGAAGCATTCAGACCAGGATAGTATTGCAGAGGTAGAGTGGAAGCAGTTAGCATGCTAGTCTGGACCCGATTGTATTCCTCTGCACTCCTATCTTTATTCTTATTGACCCTCTCTCCTCCTCTTATCAATTCCCACCCCTTTCTGTCTCTCCCTCAATCAGTAAACTCACTCAACTCCCCTCTTTCTTCTCCTCCTTTCCTCCGCCTCAATTCTCTTTATTCACCATCTCTCCATACAGTAATCCAGCTGCATTTGTATGTAGTCGCCCCGCTGAGCAGGAACAGAAATTTGTTAACACTGGATTACAAGCTGTTGCTTCCATATCATCGCTTTGGCAGTTGCAGAGTCTTGGTTTCTGGGGACAGATGAATTTTGGAGATTAGCCCTTGGAAATATTTCTTCCTCGAAATGTCCCTTATATTAAACATATAAAACTTTTATACCCTAATGTTACATTTTGATTAGCAAAAACATTTTTTATTTTACAGTTCACCAAATAGACCAAGGTAGGGTTATTGTGTGAATCACATGTACGCTGTAATTTACACACACACACATATTAGGGCTGACTAATATAATTGAGTAGTAGACAAGTAACCCCGCAAAAAAAATTGTTTCATTTTGTTTCAGATCAATCCGGATTTTTCTTTCGTTGAAATCATTGGGATTTCAGATCTGTTCGAATTTTCGTTCCGGAACGATGTCACATGACCTCGCCTGTATTGCAATCCCCAACAGCCAAAAAAAACATCTGACTAGATAACAGTCCCATGTTCGATTTAGTTTAGTTTTGATTGAAATTCGGACAGATCCAAATTTTTGTTACAGGACCATTCGGATTAGTTTGCGTTCAAATTCGGAAAATTGAATCCATCCGAATGTGCGAATTTAACGAAATTAGTACGAATATCCATTTGGAACAAAATTAAATTTACATGTCTATTGGGTAGATCCCCCGTTTGCCACCATAACAATCCTGACCCATTGAGGCATGGACTCCACTAGACCTGTATGCTGTGGTATCTAGTACCAAGCTGTCAGTAGCAGATCCTTTAAGTCCTGTAAGGTACGCAGTGGGGCGTCCATGGATCAGACTTGCCTTTTCCTAGCGCATACCACAAATGCTTAATTGGATTGAGATCTGGAGAATTTGGAGGCCAAGTCAACACCTCAAACTCCTTGTTGTGTTGCTAAAACCATTCTCGAACCATTTTTGCAGTGTGTTAGGGTGCATTATCCTGCTGAAAGAGGCCACTGACATCAGGGAATACGTTTCCATGAAGGGGTGTACTTGGTCAGCAATGTTTAGGTAGGTGGTACATATCAAGGGAACGTCCACATGAATGGCAGGACCCAAGGTTTCCCAGCAGAACATTTCTCAAATCATGGCACTGCCAACACTGACTTCTTCCTATAGTGCATCCTGGTGCCATCTCTTCCATAGGTAAGCAACACACACGCACCCAGCCAGCCACATGATGTGAAAGAAAATGTGATTCATCAGATCATGCTACCTACTTCCATTGCTCTGTGGTCCAGTTCTGATGCTCACATCTCCATTGTAGGCGGTTTTGGCGGTGGACACAGCCCCAAACTGCATTTCACTGTGTGTTCAGACACCTTTCTATCGGAAACCAGCATTAACGTTTTTAGCAATTTGAGCTACAGTAGCTCTTCTATTGGATCGGACTACACGGGCCAGCCTTTACTCCCCACATGCTTCAATGAGCCTTGGCCGCCCATGACCCTGTCGCTGGTTCACCGTTTTTTTCTTTCTTGGACCACTTTTGGTAGATCCTGAGCTCTGCAGACCAGGAACATCCCACAAGAGCTGCAGTTTTGGAGTTGCTCTGCTGCTGCTCCCAGTCGTCTATCCATCACAATCTGGTCCTTGTCAAAGTCACTCAAATCCTTACGTTTGCCCATATTTTCTGCTTCCAACACATCAACTTTAGGGACAAAATGTTCACTTGCTACCGAATATATCCCACCCAGGTCCAGGTGCTATTGTAAGGAGATAATAATCAATGTTATTCACTTCACCTCTCAGTGGTCATAAAATGATGTATATATATTTAAAGGACAATTTAAGTCTCAAATGTTTTATCTCGTTAAAACCATGTCTCACGAAAAAAAACATTTGCTCTCAGAGAAAATGCTGCTTCCAACACTTACACTTCAGTGCTCTAAGCTGGCGGAGCAGAGTAACAGCGACAGCCCTCAGCCTGTAAGTGTCCTTACCAAGACTTGCACTGCTGAGAAGAGAAGGGAATGTCTGGGAACTAATTACAGAGTGCACTGGGCCTATCTTTAGTTCCTATTACACGTATTTAAACATTATTCAGAGCTGCTGCAACAGAAAAGTGAACTTTAACCCTTTTACTGCCATGGTTGTATGAAATATGTGGGCATGTACAAAAGGTTTGTTTACATTTTCACCCCTGAATTTTTGGTGGGAGTGATTTGAGTGGCTGTAAAGATTTTTTTTTGTGTGCCCAGCATTAGGCTAACTTGTTAGCCGAATTTGTGGGCGGAGCCCCACACATTTAAACCCCCCCGTTTCCACTACTCACCTGTCGGGAAGTTTGTGTCACCCGACCCTCCCTCACCCCTTCTATAACATTTTATTCTTGGGTATGGCCCCCTTATTTGCATACTGACCATAGTGACCGTGGCACATCTCAGGTCAAGTTTAAGTAATCAAAAATTGGGCAAAGTCTTCCAGTTCATTTTGTAAGCATGCAGCCACAACAAAAGTAAAACGGCCTGTCCTCCGCCAACATTCTGTAGAAAAGGACTGTTGTGATCTGTATGCGAGCAGTGGTCTCGCTTCAGCGGTCTGACACGCCCCCCTGTCAGAGCTATAGCTCTCCAAACAGTAAGGCTCATGCTCCCTGCTGATTGCACAGCTCTAGCTCTGACTCACAAGGGGGCGAGTCAGACCGCTGTAGAGAGACTACTGCTCTCAGGCAGACCCCAGTCCTTTCCTGTAGCATGATGGCAGGAGACAGGATGTTTTACTTTGGCTATGGCTGCTTCTTTATAAAAGTGAAATGCAAGACTTTCCACAACTTTGGTTTTGATGCACAAAGAGTTTATTTAGCTGATTTATAACATTCTATTGGGCTTTGAGGATTAGAATTTCAGCTGTTAGTGGCACACAGGAGAAAACTGTGTCTTGGATTGCATGATTCGGTCATTATGGAAACCCTTATAAGGATAATGTCAAACATTTGAGATTTCTCTACAGGATCGTGAACTGTTTACTTTTAGAAGGGACGAGAAACTCTTTGCGTAGGAGTTACTACAACACAAACATTTACAACAAAAGTCAGCTCTCTGCAGCCACTCTAACTCAGTTATATCTTGCATTCAGTTTCAAGGGAATGTGATGAACAAGGAAGAAATGTCTGCAATACTGTAATATGGGTGAATGTGATTTTTCCACTGTTGTCATCCGGGTGAAGTTCATTCTTTATGCCCTCGCTAGTCTTCTAATACAGGTCACTCATCAAATGTGCGTATTTTATGCCATCAATACCCAAACTACCCATTTTTTACTGTTCATACATATTTAGGTTTCCCCCTTTCCTCTCATCGGCAGATGCATGATGGGATTTGTAGTCTCACCTAGGGCCATATATATGCCATATAATGAGGCAGACCGAGACAGTTGCTTCAAGTGGTATCTCTTTTAAGGTCACGTGGGTGGAGGTAGGGAGAGTGTGGCATGGCTGGTCTACTGCACAATGTTTGCAGTGTGCCTGTCGCCCCCTTTCCGGCCAGAGCATCCCAGGTATAACGAGTTGGGCAGGTAGATGTCTAAGGGCCATATACATCTCCCTGCTTCTTAGCAACATGGAATGCTCTGGCCGGTGTCCCGCCCAGATCCTGGCAACCAATGACATCACCGGTTGCTAGGAGCTGGGCAGGCCGCCGGCTAGAGTGGCGGTATCAGTCCAGCATTCCCAGGTCAGCACCGCCACCCCCCAATGAGTGCGTGCACCACAACCAGTCCCAGGTGGCAAAATGGATCGGGACAGGGTGTATGGCCAGCTTTAAGAGTGAAGGGCCGCTTTCAGCAGCCCTTTGTACAAACCGCCGCTCTCATGAAGTGAACGGGTGACTCGAAAATTCTTGGTATTATGGAGAATTGCCTTCATTTAGCAAACAAACAGGGACAAAGGCGGGCAGATAAGGATTTTACCTGCATCCGCGATACTTTTATTAATATCGGATAACCTTTGTACTACGGCAAAAAACATCCCCTTTGTTTACCATCATTTGGGCGCCTGGAACTAAGACAATTTTGTAACTGGAGCTGTTAGTGATGCGAGGACTTTATACACAATGTGACCGTGCAACTTTACTAGCAAAATACCATATTGCATTACACAAGCCAAGATAACAAAGGAGCCTACGGACTCCCAGTTCTGTAATGCGCTATGATTATATGATTCAGCCGT